ATGCATGAGGGTCTCTGTATATTTGAGTCCAGTCTGGCCTACATAGTGAGTTCCAGGACAGAAAGGGCTTTGTAGAGAGACCCTGTCTCAGAAAATAAAGTGGACAGCTTCTGAGGACTGACACCTGAAATTCACCTCTGGCCTCTACATTCAAATGCATATACATACATGTGCACCCTCCATATGCACCCATATATATCATCACATACATGCATTACCAACTATCCCCCACAGACACACATGCATCTACACATATCCACCACATGTACACCACCACCATCCCATACACACATAGACAGAACAGGATTTTTTTGTGTAACTCAGAGCCTGGAGTCATTTTCTGACCTGTAACTGTTAAGGTGATCCTCCAACTGCTTGGCCAGTGGCGACAACCCTCCTGGCTGTATGGTGACACCAAGTACTATCCTGTGGCCTGGCAGCCATTCCCACACACAGCACAGCTTGTTTGTTAGTTGTTGGGTGATGGTCCTCCCTGTACCCCCACCTCAAGACTGGTCCAACCACTGCTTCTTGGATTTCATTCCCTTTTTCTGTATGAAAGCTATGAAAGAAAACTACTATGAAATGACTCCCTGCCAGGTAAGTCAGTCAAGCCCTTCATATGTGTGTGTGTGTATATACACTTGTCATGAAGATAAGGGGAAAAAAACGTGGAAATAGTTGCCTACTCCACACTAATTTCTCTGTATTTTCTGTCTGTTATTGATTATGCTTTGACAGCAAAGCTTAAACATGACAAAAACAGAGAAGTATTAGAGACCAGTGGAGAGAAAAAAAAAAAAGCTATCTTCATACAGAGAGAGGCGCTGCCACTCCAGGGCGGGAGCACTTTGTTTACAGAGGAAAGCAAGCTGCAGTCCTCCACCTGCCCCCTGCTTCACAACAAACGCTAGTGTGGGAGAAGGTTCCTGGGGGCTTTCTTTCATTCCCAGATGTCAGGTGTTGTGGATGACTTACCTTTGTCTTCAGCCCAGCAGTCCAGCATCTTTCCTCCACTCAGAGCAATCCTTGCTTGTTGTGTTCCAGATGGTCCCCTGGCTCTCCTCCCTCGCAGCATGAGGTGCCAGACTGATCCCCTTGGAAGCCTGGACCTGTGTGAGCACCACTGCTCGCAGAGATCAAAGCAGCCACAACACGTTGAATCACATGTATGCCTGTGTCACCGCAAAGAAAACACCCTGAACCTGTGTGGACTCACTGTGGACTTTGTTAGACTGAGGCTACCTGATGTCCCATATACTCCCAATGCAGGCAGTCTCCCTTAAAGACAGGGCTTCTAAGACTTGGCGGTACTTAAAACCCCTCACATGGGGCTGGAGAGGTAGAACAGCAGTTAAGGGCACTTACTGCTCTTCTAGAGGATCCAGGTTCAATTCCCAGCACCATCTGTCTGTAACTACAGTTCCAGGGGATCTGATGCTCTCTTCTGACCTCTGAATGAACTGTATGCACACTGTGCACAGACATACATGCAGACACCCACACACATAAAATAAAATGAATAAATCTATGAAACCAAACCTCTTGACAAGGACAGAGACCCTTGTTAAAATGCAGATTGCAACTGGGTAGGTCTGGGTTGAGTCTTGGCCCCACCATCAGGGAGGGTTTCTAGCAAGCCCCAGAGGCTGTAGGTGCTATAGTAGGTAGAATATACTATGAGTAACTAGGCTGTAGAAATGACGTTGGAAGTCCTTCTCCTGTGGCACCCAAGCCAACAGCAGCAGCTGAAAATGCAGGGAGCACCTGTTACAGGTGAGAAAGCACAAGCCCCTCCCAGATCTACCCTATCAAAGTCAACATCTGACCGAGGTCCCCAGATGATTCTTACATGTGTCAGCTTGAGAAGTTGATGAAAGAGTTTAGGATCAAGATCACAGGGCTGTTATTGCCTCTCAGAAAGGTAGTGGGTAGAAAGACGGTGTGTGTGTATATGTGTGTGTGTGTGTGTGTGTGCGCGCGCACAAGCAATTTTAAACTTGAAAGCCACACTAAAAGCTGACCTGTATTAGGAAGAGAATAAAATCCACCTAGCTAGATGCCAACTTATTCAATCGGATGCCTCCTCTACCGAAGAGTCACTAGGGATCAGAATTGAGCCAAGGCTTTGGGTGAGAACCAATGTGCCACAGATCTCTGTTCCCAACACTTCTGGTAGCCACTAGATCAACTGATATGTGGGCCTTGCTAAGCCCAATGGACACTGCAGCTAAAGAGACAGGTGGTTTATACAGTACAGGTGGGTCGGTAAAGCCTAGGGCCCTCAATGGGATGCAAGGCAGGACCACACCTACAGATTACTGTGGCTTCAAGTGACAAATCTAGAAAAGCAGGGAGAGAGGGACATCACTCATGCCACAGCCTGGGGATCTTGCAGCACACAATCCATGTCAGCCGACAATGATTGTTTCAAAACCTAAAATAGGGGGTGGGAATATGGCTCAGTGGGTAGTGCATACCACACAAGCATGAGGACCGAGCTAAAATGCCAGGTGTGGTGGCATGCATGTATAACCCCAGTGCCGGGGAGGTGGAGCCAGGAAGTTCACTGGACTCAAAGGACAACTAGGCTAGCCTACTGGTAAGCCCCAGGTTCACTGAGAGACTGTGTCTCAAAAATAAGGTCAAAGTGATTAAAGAAGACACCTGATGTTGACCTCTGACCTTCACAAACATGCATACACAGGTGTACACACATGATAAATATGTACACACAGGTGAACACATATGAGAAACATGCACACACACAATTTAAAGCAATAATTTGCTAGAAAAGTAGAGGCTAGAGGCTAAATGAATACAAAAAAAATCACTAAAAATCAAAGGGAAGAGGAGAGCAAACTTAAGCAATAATAATAAATAAATATAATTTTTAATGTAATTAAATCAGTGGAGTCTATACTGGGCCATGGGCAGCTCCCCCAAAGCACCTGGAATCAGGCAGATTCCCTGCACAGCTGCTTAATCCTTCAGCTTAGTTTCCTTGAGTTTCTTTGAGGAGGAAATTGCTGGCTGCAGACAATGGTTTGCATTTGATCAGGGAACAGGAGATAGGAACCCTCTAGGAGGGAATGGGGCTCATGCTGGGAGTGCTGAGGGGCCCAGACAAACACAGAGCTCTATTAGTGTGCATTTTTGTTCACATCAATTCCTGAAAACAATTTTTCAAGTTATAGAATAAGCAGAGAGCACCTGGCGCCATTTGCAGAAATGTTTGTGACAACATCACTTCTGTTCTTCATCCCAACTCTGCCTCCCCTCTTCCTTGTACCAATCTTTACACCTTCCTCCTTCCCTCTTCCTAGTGAGGATCTTATACTCTCCACAGGTTTCCTTGTTGTTCTGCCCATTTAAAGGCCGTAGGGGACCACAGGACTCAGTGGTCAGACTAGAGATCCCAGCTCCCGCTGTGCCCAAAGCCCTTCCTGTGCCCTTCTGCGTCCTCACAGCCGACTGCACCCAACTACTTTGCAAATAAAGTAATTCAAGCTCAGAGAGACAAGAGTGACAGGAATAGCAAATGGAGGTCACAGGACTATACCCTGTACCTGCCCAAAGTCAGTGCTTTTTTTGACTAAGTCATCCCACCTCCGGCTTTTGCTCTTTCATGCCATTTTTACATTCTGAACAATGGGTTTGTGATAGTTCTCAATCTATCCTAGTTGAGATGAGCCTCCATGGCTCTCATCCTGGCCTGACCTCTTCACTTGGGCTCCAGCATCACAGACCTCTACACCTGATAGGCACAGTCTCACATCGTCCCCCAATACACAATGGATTCTGCATCCCAAGATGCACATGTTAAAACTTGGGAGTTAAAGCTCAGAGCTTCACCAATGTATTTTTATGTTCAGAAGAATCAAGAAAGATAAGGACAAGCCCTCAAAGATGGCTGCAAGTCCATTTGTGAAACACGTTGATATGCTGACCTATTTTGATAACAGCCTAACTTGCTCCAGCCTGCCACAGGTGTCCACTGGTCACTTCAATACTCTTGACTAACGTTGCCAAAATAATGACTAACAGATCTATTCACCTATGATTCTCCTGCTGGGATGTCCAGTTGCAGACTCGGTATGCATAGATGGGGTGAAAGTATCTGCTAGGCAGAGTGGTGCATGGTTAGAGGGTTCACTGGCCTGTGGATGAACACCGCCCTTGCTCTCTCTCTGTGTGCAATATGAGTTTGTCGTTTTGGGTTTTGTTGTTGTTGTTGTTGTTGTTGTTGTTTTTTACAAATTATAAAATCAGGCCTATTAACTGAAAACCAGCGGGGGACAACCTGCATCAGGGATTGTTACCAGTGTCTGCAAAGAGCTCTTTCTAGGAAAAAGAGATGTCTTCTTGGAGCTGACTGAACATCCTAACTTGGAAATTAATCACAGACTCTGAAAGTTGTACCCGTGTGAGTCTCTTTGTAACATGTTCCTCTGGCTCCAGCTACCAGAGGACCCTTGCCACCAGCAGGGCCACAGACCTGGAGTGGAGCCACCACTACCCCCAGAGTCATAGAAATTTTGTCTCTCCCTCTGAGGAGGAGTGCTGTGGGCACGGGGGATCCTTTGCTGAAGTCCTCTGGAGATACCAGCCTTGATACTGGCCACCACTCATTCATCCTTGGAGCAACCTCGTGATATTTCAAGACATCTTTTTAACTTCATTTTCCTCACAAGTCCTTGTGAAGGGAGAGTTTCCTAAATTCATTGATTCCCTTTTGGCAAACTTGCAACTCCTGGATTTAGACAGATTAAATACAGTAAAGATTTCCTATATCAACTCAAAGAACATTACCTGAAAACTCGGGAAAGGTGTTTGTTTTTGTTTTTAACTCCAGGAAGAAACCAGAAGAAGAGAGGGGAGGGAAGAAGGAAGGAAGTTGGGGGGAGGGAAGGACCAGGAAGGGGGAAGACAGTGGGAAATGGACAAACTACACAGAAGACACATTCCCAGAACCGAAAGGAACCAACCAACCATCCCACTAACATATAATAATCTTTATTCTGCAACAAAGACATAAATAATTTTATGAATTCATATGACCTATACAAAAGACAAAATAAGATATTGCACTAAATTTTGTTATGGAGTATCTGGATTTAATATTAGCTGAACAGATAAATATATATATACAAGTCAAGGAATTAAGGCAAAACCAGATGATATTTCAAACACAACAGGAGATTTGAAAAATAGATATAATTAAAAACAAGGGCATACCATCTCCAGTTAATAAAGTGGTCATGTTGAAGGGGAAAATAATCCCCTATGGTTTTAATAAAGTGGTTATTATCAATCACGTTAATTAAAGTTGAGCAATAAAGTATAAGATTTTCCACCAAGGAGAGCTATTTTGCCAAGATTTGGGGACTGAGCGCTTAGAACTGGGGTAAGTAACTTTTTCTTTGTCAGATTATGATCTATTTTTCCTATTAGAAAATATAATTTGGAAAATATGACTCTTTCACATATATAATTAAAATACAACTATGGAGCATTCATTTTAGGGAGCAGGAGGGAGGTCATGTAGGTGAGCTCAGAGTTAAGGTACATTTTGAGGCAAGCCATTCGTTACCTTATGGGTAGAGAAAACACTATGCCAGTCACTAAAATACAATCCCATTTACCGTAAGAGAACAAAATAAACCAATTCCAAAGTAATTATAATAAAAAGAAAACAAGTGTAATCATTGTATCCACACAATATACGAGTCTTTGGCAGTCCCATAATCACCACTGGAGTCAGAACTTCCAAGTTTTCTAACTTTCAGACCTACTTGCTGGTCTTTCAAAAACAAAGAAATGAAAACCACAATGCAGTAACAGCAGGAAACTAAATGGGACGAACCTTGAGACAGCTTCTGACTGTTAACTTGTAAGCAGATTTAGGGATTTCCAGCTTTGGAGTCCTGATTCACACGTATGGAAACTGGTACGCACATGAAAATAATCTGTGACACTTTGCATTTGTCCAGACAGGTCTAGAGTTCTTAAAGAGAATCCATAGTCACTCACGAACAGAACAATAAGAGACATGAATCCAAGGGTGAAAAGTGGTCTTCCGAGAACCCAGGGCTGGTAGCTCTCACTCATGGGCATCACGGAGAAGCTGAGTTCTATAGAGGGAACACCAGAAAGCCAGAAAACGTGGAATACTGCCAGCCGCCAAGCAAGTTACCTTTCTCTAGTTTTAGGTAAACCTTATCTTCTTTGTCCAGGTACAATAGCACTCCATTAGTGGCGGCTTCTCGGGTCACATCTTTATCCCCAGCAAATGCAGATATGACCGGTTTCCCATTTAACATTAAGTTCACCTGGAAGGAGAAAGATGACCACTGAAAAGCTCCCTTTAAAATCAAAACGTGTGCTAGGAAATGGTCAGACATTTGTTACTCAGGAAATAGTCTCCTTTCCCTTCAAACTGGACATACGTGGGGTCAGATTTAATGTATGTGTGTGTTGTGTGTATATTTAATGTGTGTGTGTGTTCCTATGAAAATTTCCTTAAGTACCCACAAAAAGAATGCCTTCTAAACAGCCACCTAGTCATGTGAAAACTGGCTTTCCTTCAGCTGTAAACAAAGCTAACTACTGTACTGACCTCATACACTCAGCATCAACCTTTTGGTAATAAAGAGGACAGGGGGCTTCCTAATGTTGGGACCTGACAAAGTCAGACACAGCCACATTCTGCCAGAATTTGAGTAGGTGTCTCCTTTTCTGAAATTTGAGCAACAACAAAAGTCATTTGAAATGTCAGAGTTTCCAGGGAAGCAGATGTGATCTTTACACATTCTCTCTTTCCAGGTTAAAATTAATATGGAAGAGATTAAATCTAAGGTGGGTCAATTGATCAAGACACTGGGATATAAAAAAGTGACAGATGACCATGCCATCTATCAACCACAGAGACACAAAATGTAATACAAATGCTAAACATTCAATATAACATATTTTAGAATTCCATAGACATGTATCATTGTTTACTATTGATTTATTTTAATACTACAATAAAAAAAAATCTCTGTATCTGCTCTAGTGTGTAAGACCAAGCTTGTCTGAACAAGCACAACACAAGACCCGTCACTAACCATGCAATTGCAACTAGGAAGAAGTTCCTGGGGCAAGAGGATCAAAAATAAACTATAGCATGATGTGCTAGGTGCATCCTTTCTCCAAAGTATCCTCAGCCATCCCCTGGTAGCTTGGTTTCAATGGATAATTGTATCTCATAGTTTTTAAATTTACTAAATCTGCTTTGTTAATTTAATGTCCATTTGTACATTTTTATAAGATTTATATTCCTTGTAAGTTTGTATAACTTTTGTTCAGGCATGAGATAATATCAAGATCGTCTGTAGAGATCTGTGTCATGAAGGTTTTGCCAAGCTGTGTTTTGTTATTGTTGTTGTTTCAATAGTTTATTACATCTCATTCTTTTTAAATGAAAACAAGCTTGTTTTGTTTATTTAACACCCATTTGTAAAGTTTTATAATTTTTCCTTACAAATTTGAATAACTTTTGTTCATGAATGAGATAAAAATCAAGATCTGTAGATATTTGTGTCAAAGATTTTGCTGAGCTGTGTTTTATTTTGTTTTGTTTTGTTTTGTTTTATATCAGGTTATAATCAGGGTAATAATTTCAACTGCTTATTTTTCTATGTGCCTTTTGTCAATGCCCAAATGGATGTTATAAGGAAAAATGGAAATTCAATGTTTTGAAAATAAATGAAAAAGGTGGACAATTAATGCAAGCATATCTTTGAGTGAATAATTAAATGCAGGAGCAGAGAGCACATAGTTCGAAGCACATACCTGGATTGTTTGGCTCTGGTAGACTTTAATTACATGAAAACTGAAACTATAGATTCCTTTCCTTGGTGCCACAAAGACAGACTCCAATGTGAAAAAATTGCCCACATTAACCAGGATCTATAGATAAAACCAATAAATAATTGTAAGTTATTATAGTTTTTGACCAAGTAAAACAAATTCCCTCTTCTTCCCCTTCTTCCTTCCTTCCCTTTCTTCCTCCCTCCCTCCCTTTCTTACTTTCCTTTATATCTTCATTCTCTCTCTCTTCTTCTCTCCTCCCTTTTTTTTTTTCAATAACTAACTTTAGAAACAATAGAGAATAAAACAGCTAATCCTATTTCTTTCCTCTTAAGTGACTTGGGAAACATGTGCATAATGGAAGTTTCTTCTGCCTTTTAAATAGTACAGGCAAAAATAAAACAACAGTGTTGTATTTATGCCTCAATTTCCAGGCTGGATGTCTCTAGGTCATCAAAGCAACATATAAAGGTTTGTATTAGCTTTACGCAGGATCAGATGGAAGGCATCTGCTACACAGTTACGTCTCCACAGTCTATAAGCCTTCCCGATGTCCAGAAGTGACGTTATCCAGCCAGCCAATCGACATCCATGGGCTCTCTGCAGCAATCCCTGGACACCATACAGAGGCATACCCCCTCCACCATAGGGTGTAATCCATGACACCAACAGTTGCTACCGCAGAGCCAGGAAAGCCAGGTTCATCCCCAATCCTCTGCCAGGGCTCTCCTCAATCCATGGCCATTTGTTTTGTTTATTTGCCATCTAAGCCTTAATACATTGGTGATGAGTCAGCCCTGGCTGGATGCCAAGAGAAGGGCATGGATGCGGCAGACAGTAAACTAAGTGGCCTTTCTGTGTTCTTCAGTGTCTTGTTTGATCCTATCAGTCACCTAAAGTCCATTTGAAGTTTAAGGGTCAAAAGTGAAAAGTGAAGTTAAGCACTGTTTCTAAGAAAGCCATAACACACCTTATATCCCAGGATGTGTGGCCTGGTTTTGACATCAACTCTGTATTTCAGTGAATCCTCAGTTAAATTTCAGTGTCTCAGAGGTAAGTCCCTTTCTGAGAGAGCATTAGGGCCAGAACTAAACAAGGAGGCTTTCTTTCATGTCTCCCCAAGCAATAAATCCATAAAAGTCAGATGTGTCTCTAAAGATATATTTTCTGTTTATCAGAACCAGTCTGTTGCTATCTGTTTTAAACGTCATCTTGTTGAAATTACTACACTCACACTTCCTGCATCATTTCCTCAGAGCATACTACCGCCTCTCCACAGCACACCAGGATGTCAGAATACTTAGAATGTTTAGGTAAATGCACCAGGCTCAGCCCTGCTTGGCATACAAATATGTGTGCAATTTGACTGAGATCTGAGCCTATTCCCCATAAGCATCAGCTCTCTGTTCTGACCTGAGATCAGACAGACTTCTTACAGTACCATCACCAGCTGTGAAAGATTCCCCGGCAAAATGTTGACAAAAATACCTTTTCCCAGCAAATTCAAAATAATGTAAGGTGCTTAGCCAAGACTTCCTGATTCAGATACAAGAGGCATCCTTCATTAACAAAATAGAAGTGCCTGATTAGTGTTGATTAGTAAACATGAAGCTGGATGTGGACTCCACAGGGTAATTGAAGCATCCAAGCACATCAAGATTTATAACTAAATGTGTCTTGTTGTCTCTAAGATGCATGGCTCCCTGAACAAAAGAAAAATCCCTTTCTTCTTCTAATTGATGGGAAGGTCATTGAAAAGAATGCCCAAACAAAGACAGCGCAATGTCCACAGGGTTCCAACATTTAGATAATGCACTAAAACAGCAACCAGGGGTGGTGGTATGCTTTCTTTCTATCACTTTGTTAAACACTGCACCAGAATCTCCAAAGGGACTACTTAATTCATTTTTTTAAATTTATAGTTATCCCATACTGACCCTCTAGGGAGACATTTCTGTCCCTGACCAGCTGGCCAGTGTATTGCTTAGACTTAAGTAAGGAGCACAAATGTCACCAAGTCTTTTCTGGCACATCCTGCACCCCCACTTAACCTGCCCACCGGGCTCTGCATACCACTGTGAACTGTGACTTTAGAATTAGACAGTCTCCAGGTACTGTTGGGGTTGGACACAAAATGCTGGAGTTGGGCTTCTGCCCTAGGGGGCTTTGCTAAGCTGATACCCTGCGGTTGCTCATCACTCCAGTCCACGCAGCGCTGAGCCACTCGGCAGAAGCTTCCGCGTTCATCAATTCAGCCCCATTCCCTCCCTGCAACTTCAAATTCTGTGTCTCCTCAGCAACTTACAATGCCCTGCAGAAACCCAACCAAGCCTAGGAAGGGTAGCCCAGCTCCCCAGCGCTTACCTACCCAAGTTCTGCACAATTACTCAATCCCCTTTCTTCCTGTGTGGACAACTTTTCTAAGTAGTATCTAGAAGGGCTTTTGATCTACACCAGGCAGGGTGGTGTTGATCCAGCCACCCTGGACTCTGCATAGTGAACCTAGTTTCTAGCCCTGGAGGTGATATTTGACCTCAGAACCCCACCCCCAATCTCTGCTTCCACCTGGGAGGGTCCCTGCACCTTGTGGAGTCCTTGTTGGAGAGATGAGCTTCCACCAGGAAACACAATCCAAACATTTACGGGCCCCCGTCACAACATCTCCGGGGCACCTGCTGCTAAGTCTGAGCCAGAGGGCCAAGTTCTCTACCAATAGATCGCAGCATCCAGGGACAGTATTCCCTTCAGCCCCTGATGACCTGTTGCTACTAAACTTGTCTTCATCTCCAGGTGCCTGCCTCTGCGCTCCCAAACCACCCCACCACGCCGGCCTATCCTCGGCCAGACACCAAGGAGGAATGGGGGCTGCGGTTGTTGGGGAAGGGAGGCAGCTCAAGTTTCAGACTGATACCTTCAGGGAGGTAGCTGCTTAAATGATCTCGCCACATCCTTCCTAAGCGTACTAGCTTAATCTGGGCAGGCAGCTCCCCTGAGACCACCCACCCACTGGGCACCGTGCATCCCTCTGGGGTCTGACCTGGTCAAAGTAAATGATGCGTGTCTTGTTGCTCATCTCGGATGGTTCATGGTTGGTGCTCCGAACCGCCGAAAAGGCCACCTTGGAGTTTGCTGCCCGGACCGATATCCCCAACGGGGAAGAAGATGATCCCTTGGAGTCTGTGGCTGGGTTGGAGTCGCACACCACCAGACACTTGCCCTCCAGCACGATCGGTTCGGTGTCATTTTGTGCCCAGACAGGCAGCCCAGGCAGTGCGAGAACCAGCAGAACAGCCGGTACCACGGACAGCGCCCGGCGCGCAGAGCCCATGGTGAGCGGGGTGCGCAAGCCGCAGCTTGGCTCTTCTGCTCCCGGGCGCTGCCTGCTACCCCGGAATCCCGGAGCTCGGGAAGATGCCAGTGGTTAAATCGACAGCGCTGCAGGAAAGGCGGCGGCGGCGGTAGCGGCGGCGGCGCGCGCACTTCCACCAATTCTCTGGGTTGAAGTCTCCCTTCGAGCTGTCTGGCTGGTTCTGTTACCTTTGTCCTTTAAGCAGTTCATGCAGAACTCCCTACCCTAACCTCCTCCGCCCCAAAATCAGTTTTGCCTGGGGCTCCTGCAGCCACACTTGTCCCTTGACATCTAAAAAGTCTCCAGACCCTCTCGATCACACCTCAAAGGAACAAAATAAATTCTCACCCTAAACCCAAGTACTCCCGGGTGAAGCACAGAGCTGAAGACAGGACTCAGCGAGAAAACGCCAAGGTGGCGGGTGCCAAGCGGTGTGGGTGTCGGTCCTGTCCGAGGGACTCTGGCTGGCGCAGGAACAAATTACAGAGGCAGGAGGTGTTTCCGGGGATGCGAAGAACACCAGGTTGTGTTCATGGACAGAATGCTAGCGACTCCCACTTGCGCTTGGTCAAAAATTCCCCCCAAAAGCCCCGTGTCACTCCGACGCAGGTAGGCGGCTCAAATTTCGGAATCCGTTCTAAGGTGCAGGGCGCCTACTGCCCTGGGTTCCGGTGTCCCTGCGTACAACTTTGTGTCTTGGCGCGCAGCGCAGGCGGGAGGGACAGCGCCGAGAGGGCACCCGAGTGCTATTTATAGGAGCGGGGAGTGCAGATGGCTTTGGCTCGCTCGCTCAGCCTGTGGATCCCGGAAAGCAGAAAAGGCGTCCGGTGACCCCAGCGGAGCAGCGCCTGTGTGACGTTGAACGCACCCGGCCTGAGCGGGGCACACCGCACGGCCGGCCGCGAAGATCCGTGGCCACTCAGCCCCCTTGAAATCGCGTGGGGTGTGCGCAGAGGAGGATGCCCACCGGCCCGCGCCTGCCGGGGTTCCGTGGCTGCTCGCCACCTGCTCCACCTGGAGCCACGGAGGGGTTTACGGAGCCTCTGGTCCTGCCCAGCGTGGGACTCTCTGAGCCGAACGCTGCCGGTGCTGGCAGCACCGATGCAGAGATTTCTGGAAGGACCGCGGCGGTTCTGCGGGGCTTGCTACCTGGACTCTAAAGTGGATCCACCAGCGTCCCCAGCTGCACCTGGTCCGGAGCTCGTCCCACGTAGCCCTCCAGCCTGGCGGGCTCAGGAAAGCCTTGGGGCAGCCCTGTGCCCTGGGAGAGGCGGGGGGGAGGGTGGGGGTGGGGGGGTGCGGAGGAGGCGCCTGATTTCCTTCCGCACAGAAGGTTGAGCCTCGGAAGCCACAGGGGCGCGCCTTCCCACTCACACTGAGCATCCACCCCAAGCAAAGAAAAGTCTTAGTGAACAGGATCCCCTTAAATATAACGATTAAAATACAGCACCTGGGAGTGCTGCACCTTTCTCCGCTTTGATGTGTCTCCCCCTGTGCACTCCACTGCCATCTTGGCCTCTTATTGGCAACTTATTTTCCTCTTCCGCAGCCACGAACGGGAAGCTGGGAAGCGGGGCTTGGCATTGGAGTTGGCTGCAGGAACTCGGCCAAGACATACACCTTGATGACACACTTTCCTAACTAATGGCCCTGGTTTTCTGGTTCTGTATTTTCTGGGGTCAGGACACTCCCAAATTCCTTTTCGACTTCCAGCTGAAAGAGAGCAATCACATCTACCTCTCTAATCAAAACAACATCCCCATGGAAGGCAGCAGCCACTCGGACCTCCTGATTAGTATATACTGGTTGCTTATTGTTTAGAGGTTGAGCCATGTCCTTGGGACAAACCAAGCTCCCCTAATGGTCATGAGATTCTTGGAACGGCGTTCAAGCTCCTCCCCAGCAGAATCCAGCCCTACATCTTTAATGGAGTCTCCTCCTAAGGTTCTCCAAGGGAACTTGTGCCATAAGCCTACACTGAAATTCCAAGTATTAAGATACAAGATGCCCTTATGGTTGATTCTTAGCCCTGATTTCCTATAAAGATACAAATAAAGATGTGCTGCCTGGAACCATAGTTGAGGGAGGTAGGCACTGCCACCACTGAGTGGTAGGTGCTCTAGGGTGATGCTATTGGTGACAGTGTTGGCTGCCCTTTGTCTAAGCTGTAAAGAAACAGGAGAGTTAGCCAGGCCTTTAATGGAGGGCTACCCTGACATCCACCTTAAGCTTCCCAAGGTCCCACAGCTTCCCACCTGACCCTTTCAGACTTCCTTATTCAACCACCCATCACCAGTCTGCCTGAACAACAGCTGCAGTACCTCCATGGTGTGTGTGTGTGTGTGTGTGTGTGTGTGTGTGTGTGTGTGTGCAGAAGTCAGAGAATGACTTCACTCAGTGTCCTGCTCTATCACTATCCACCTTACTCCTCAACCTTGAGAAGACAGGATCTCTTACTAAACTTGGAGCTTCCTATAAGCCAACAAGACACACACACACACACACACACACACACACACACACACATACACACACATCTCCCCATCCCCCAGCACTGGTGTCACAAGCTTGTGCAACCACACTTGGCTTTTCATGTAGGTTCTGGACATTGGGCAGGTCCTCATGTTTGAACTCTTACTAGATGAACCATCTCCCAGCACCAGAGCTACTTTTTAAGACCAGATACTAGCTGAAATTTCACTCTACTTTTTCTCCTAGAGGGAAAGAATACCTTTTCCATCCAAGCTGGAGAGTCAGTAGCTAAGCCTTGGGTTTTTTCAGTTCCAGGGAGGAGTTTGAGAAAGATCTCTATTGACAGAATTGGTAAATAAGCAGCAGTTATGTTCCCCACAAGCCCCAACATATCCTTTTCTTCTCTTAGAATTTTTTTCCAAACGAGCTCATATTTAAATCAACTTCTTCCTTCTGTCACTGACAATATTCTTGCAGACCTCACAGCCAGCAGGGTGACCACATTAGGGGCCCAATGGCTAAATGAGTAATGACTGAACACTTCTAAATAGAATGCAACATACCGGTCATTCATCCTATAGTTTAAGATAATTGTAGTGAGACTCCTTCGGTGAAATGTGAATTCAAAGCCTGAATTGTCAGTCTTGGTTCTTTATTAAAAGAAGTCCTGCCGGGCAGTGGTGGCACACGCCTTTAATCCCAGCACTCGGGAGGCAGAGCCAGGCGGATCTCTGTGAGTTCGAGGCCAGCCTGGGCTACCAAGTGAGTCCCAGGAAAGGCGCAAAACTACACAGAGAAACCCTGTCTCGAAAAATCAAAAAAAAAAAAAAAAAAAAAAGTCCTACTATTCCAGATGATTAGGGCATTTCCTGTGGCCACATGCTAAGAGAAGTCATATGGCAGTGTGAGCCAGTAAGTCATATGGTTCTAGGGCTGACAGTCCTTTTGATATCAGAAGCCCATTGGATAGCGGATCCAAAACAGATAGCTGAGAAGTGACTCCCAGACTTCCTTTGTCTGGGATTGGGCTGAATGGCTGAGCCAACTCTGGGGAGCTAGAGCAGCCAGGTCAGTACACTCCTCAGCTGTTACAGTCATGTAGGGGGCTTGTGAAAGCAGCAACTGAGTTTCCTGGGATGATCAGGGGTGGGGCGGGGCTTCCAAACTGTACAACAAAAGCCAAGCCTGGAGGCTGAGGAGTAAAAGAATCAACTCTCTTGGTAGACTGACCAATCCTGCAACTACCCAGGCCTAGAACCAGGGTTATGAGTTGGCCCACCCCAACATCCACACCATCCCTGATCTGCTAGAGCATGGAAGGGATCAGTCCTGCAGACCCAAAGCTGCAGGATCTCCACAACACAGGGCAACAGCAGGATAACCAAGAGGAGTCCCAGTGAGGGCCAACATCAATAGTGTAGCAGAAAGAAGACCTCAGCCCAGACCAATGACTCTGCAATGAACACTCACAAGTAAAGATATATGGATAAAAGGGTTTTCAGCACGCCTCACTACAGCTTCCATGATGAGATTGATTTTTTTCCTTCTCTATTTTCTTTTTCTTCTTTATTTTTTCTCTTAAATTTTATTTTATTGGGGGGGAGTAGAGGGCAGATAGGAAGGAATAAGGAAATGAATGAGATGGAGACGCATGATGTGAAAGACACAAAGAATAAATAAAAAGAAAGTTAAAAAACACACAAAAAAATGATACTTAAAGCCAAGTAGTAATTAACATAACTGCATTTAGATGCCACTCATGACTGTCAATTCCAACACCTTGTGGGGAAAAAAAGTTGCATGCTGTGAACATAAACATATTCAAATAAACTTAAAAAAAGAAGAAGAAGCCGGGCAGCAGTCAGTGGCACACGCCTTTAATCCCAACACTTGGGAGGCAGAGACAGGCGGATCTCTGTGAGTTCAAGGCTAGCCTGGTCTACAGAGTGAGATCCACGACAGGCTCTAAAGCTACACAAAAGAAACCCTGTCTCGAAAAACCAAAAAAAAAAAAAAATGAAAAAAGAAAGAAAGAAAGAAAGAAA